GCTGCCCTGCTAGCTGGCCATCGTGCTCAGCCAGGGTGCCACCAAGCTCCACGTGGGCAGGCGCAGAGGGGAAGCCGCTGATCAGCTGGAGCGCAGGGCAGCCTCTTTCAGCTGAAAGCCACAGTCAGCTGGCTAGGGTGTTTCAGCCCTCCCGACCTCCCAGCTCCCACCATTCCTCGCAGCTACTCACCTATGTTGTTGCTCGGTGAGTAGCTGCTCCTCAAAGGAGGAAATCTAATGTAAATGTACTGCGCAGGCACGCAGTTCAGAGAGGGCTCAAGAGCTACTCTTAGAGCCCCTGAGATCTACCGGTAGCTCGCGATCTACTGGTTGGTGACCACAGAGATAGAGAAATAAAACTTCTACTCAATTTTTTTCTGCTGCTTCTAGTTTTGAATATCCCCTACATATCATAATTTAACCAAGAGGATGAATCATGATAAAAATCCAGACAATTAATATATTTCTATTACAGCCAAATGCCATAAAATTTAAGAAATGATACCATTACCGGAATAACTTCTGTTGTCACTTCCTGTTTGCTGAATCTGTAAATAATGACATGTGCAGAAACTCCGGCTATGCACAGCATTCTACTTTCTGGACACCATGAGATGATCTGAATGGCATATGGATCTTCATCTACTATGTCTGTGTTTGGCCTATCATCCTTACTTCGTGATTTTTCAAATACTTTAGCTGTTTTTAGTTTGTAAAGTACTTGCAGTGTTACTAGGAACAAATAAGAATGCATAACAAAGTTAGTTTAAATTTAAACAGGTATTTTTTTCTTGTTTCTCCGTTTGGTGCCTTTTTTCCTTTACAAAGATAAACAATTTTTCAGCAAGAGAGAAGCACAGAAGTAAGGTTACACCATGTTAACATTCTCAGTTCTTCATAGAAAATATATCCACAATGAGATATTTAAAAAGGAAAAATCCCTTAGAACTTCATTAACATAAGCTAAAAATCATTTTTTTCTTCTAGAAAGATATCAGGTGGAGATGGAAGATCTACAAGACATGCAACAGGAACTGTAGCATTTACAACATATAAAGAATTTCTTCCTTTTGAGTTATGCTTGAATACCAATGAGACAAGATGACCCTAAATATGTGCATGCACTTATTTGCATACTTCAGATTGAACCTGTCTAGTCCAGCCTCTCTGGCAACATTGGTCCAGCATGATTTTAGTTGGCTGGATGTCCATTTATCATAGATGTGGCCAAATTTCCAGTGGTCCAGCTCTCCATGTTCAGTGCTACTCTTTACCTTTAATTTACCCCTACATGTTTTCTAAGAGCTCAGTAAGCAGTGCAAGTGTTGATAATGCTATTAGACAATATTGACCTCCATGGTTCAGCAAAGTCTGGTTCTGAGGGTACAGTAATAGAGAGGTTGAACCTGTAGTGTCAACAACAATCTTCTAATTCAAAACAGTATCAGAAATAGTTCTACTCTCTAAGCTTAGAACCACTGAATTATTTGGGTGCATTTATGAATGCACTTAATCTTTTTTTCTGTGGTTTGCTAGCAAGAACGGTGGGAAACAACTATTTCTAGCTGCTATAATTTATTGTAAAATTATATTTTTTAAATATACACTTGTTATTTTTTGTATTAGAAAGAAAAAATAAAATTAGACATTGAGGTGCCTCACTAAAATTTCACTGTTTTCTTGCCCTTCTCCTCTCTCTCCTTTCTTATATCTGTGTGCCAAAAGAGGAGAAGTGCAGGAAAATGAGACAGAGGTTTTAAGAATTTTGAAATGCCCATTTCTTGATATAGCCTGCTCTACCAACTTGTTTTCTTTTGGGGAGTAAGAATCAGTCAAACAGTAAACTATTAAAAAACAGACCCAAGTCAAGTCTATTTTAAATTCAAAGATTAACTTAATGCACAGACTGTGTGAGGCAGATAACACGAGAACATCTTGGAGCAATTATATTACAGAATCATACAATTTTAGAGAACGTTTCAACTGTATGAGTAAGTAACAATAATTATTCAAAATACTTACTTGCAGAGGCATCCCAAAACTTGATCGACCCATCAGCATGCCTATAAAATAATAAAAAAATAAAATAAAAGTGTGCCTGGAAAAAATAAGGGGGTTAGCAATGAGGAACAGAAATGTAGACTAGATTACACTACTGATTTAGCATAAACCACAGCTAGCACATTCTGCTTTAGCATTATGATTCTATTGCAGTATACAGACAGAGTTCCATCTAAGCTGCGAGCCTGTGTAGAAAATTTTAGGCCTACCTACCTTGCCTGCAGAGCCGTGCATCAGCACTCACCACCACTCACTTTCCTGCTGGACTGGAGTGAGAGTGGTGGTGGCGGCAGCGGTGGCCTGGTGGGTTCTGGCCAGGTCTCATGGTGGTGAGCAACTGTCCTGTCCCCATTTGCTCTGGACAGAACTGGGGAGTGGGGAGGTTGTCCCTGCTGGGGCTGCCTCACTGAGGCCCTGGTTCCAGCTCTGGTGGCAGCCATCCCACTGCGCCGCAGCTGGAGCTGGGGCATAGTGTGCCTGTCCCAATTAGCTAATTGTCAGTAGCTAATCATTTTGGTGTTGGTAGATCAACTGTCAGGGCTGTTGTCATGGATGTGTGCACTGCTATCTAGAAGTTGCAGCCTTCTGGGTCCTAAGGCTTGGCAATACAAATTCATCAATACCTTCTTGCACATGTTTAGGATTCCCAGTTTGGTAGTTGCCACTGATGGAACCCACATGTCCATTCTTTGCCCCCACATCAGACCTCAGAGTTCATATTGGAAAAGAGTATTTCTCCATGATGGTCTGGAGGCTCACCAAGGAGGGGTTTCTCTAGTATTAAGATGGGAACGCTACTCATTTTATTTTGGGGTATACTGAGTTTCCTCTCAGCCACTGAGTAAGGGGCTGTGTATAGCTGCATTGTTCCCAGAAGCAGTCCAGAAAAGAGCTGTTTTTCAGAGGGGTGCCTGATTTTTCTGAAGCTCTTCTTGTAGTGATGCAGCTATGCCCCACCTCTTACTCAGGCCTGGGAGGAAACTCTTAATAGATCATTCTGAGTCCCAATTCCTCCAGAACACCTGTTTTGCTCCACAGAAAAATATGTAGCATCAGCTCATCATAGTGACATCATACTCCCTCCATCATCTCTTACCTGTTTCCCATCCATTCCCTTGTCTCCCTTCAGTGTGCCTTTGCTTACCTATGGAGAGGAGTAGCAGCCGTGCAGAGGTTGGGCATGAGGAAACAAACCTGATATCTGAGTGAAATTTGAGTGTCCACATAGAATCTGAATCCTTCACACTATTTGTGCAGCACTAAGGGGTGAAGTTGTAATTGCAAACCTGGTCTAGTGTGTCTGGAGGTTAATACGTGGGATCTGGAAGTTAGCAATCCTAGGATTTATACTATGGATTTACATAAACACATTAAGCTATTCTTTGTCTTATTCCCAATACAGCAGTCACCTCAGCAAAGGGTCCAGGCAGATTTTACCATAAGGGACCCCAAGAGATCATCTGGTCCAGCTGGTGAAGGGTCTGGGAGAGGACTATAAACAGGGAAAGTTGGCTACTAAAATTTTTGCAATATTAAGTTTATTTTTATTTGACTTCATATAAAAAAACTGAAGTCATGCACCTTGTTAATTATCCCTTGTTTTAGTGTTCTTTCTTTCATAACATTTTTAAAAATATATGCAAGATATTTGTTTACTTGGGTGCCAGGGTGGCACACATCCGAACAAGTGCACATGGCCTCAATATTAGTGCACAAAACAAAACTCACTCTGCTCATGAAGGGAATCTTAGAGGGAACACTGCTCAAAGGTATGATAGCCAAGATTTTAAGACGTGCTCAGTGATTTCATCAACTGAAGTTCAATAGGTATTGCTTAGGCTCCTCTGAAAATGTCAATGACAGACTAATAGACACACATGGTGGGTGAAGTAGTACCTTTTATAGAACCAAGCTTAAGAATTTGACTTTTAACCACCATGAGTTGGTCCAATAAAACATTATCTCACCCACCGCGTCTCTAGCCATGCTGGTCCCAGCACATTACAGAAACATTGCATACAGTCACAGACTAAGATCTTTTAAGTAGAGGCAGCATCCTTCTGAATTTGCATCATTCTGTGCAATGCCTAGATCACTGGGCTCCTAATCCTGATTGCCCATGGGTGCTAAAGAAATATATAATAATTAATGCTCTATGAATTTTTTAAACTCTTCTTTGAACTCTATCATAGTCTTGGCCTTCACAACATACTCTGGCAAGGAGTTCCATAAGTTGCGTGTTGTGCGAAGTAGTATTTCCTTTTATTTGTTTTAAACCTGTTACCTATTAATTTCATTTGGTGACCCCTAGTTCTTGTTTTATGGGAACAAGTAAATAACTCTTCTTTCTTCACACTAGTCATGATTTTATAGACCTCTATTGTATCCCCTCGTAATAGTCTCTTTTCCAAGCAGAAAAGTCCTAGTCTTAATAATCTCTCCTCATGTGGCAGTTCTACACCTCACTGTTTACTCCTTTCTCTCAATCAATTTAGTATGTTGAATAGAATTGGTCTCAGTATGAACCCATGGCTAGTTACCTCTCTCCATTCTGAAAACTGAGTGGTGTTGTTGAGACCTACTTTCATTTAAAAGAAAAACTCTGATAGGTTGGTAATCTTTTGATTACTGAACTCAACAGCTATTTAAACATGAACATATATTTAAAAGCAGTGTTTAAGAAAAAGCCTGTTATGTCAATTAAAATGGTTTAAACATTATCAAAGGATTATATACAGCAAAGAATAATAGATCTAGGAACTAGAGACAATAAGCAAATGCAATTTGATGGTGGCAGTTTATTCAAGTGGATACACCTCTGGTAGTATACTACTAGGAGAATTTTTCTGATGATGCCAGTAGTTATGCACTGGATCAGGTTAGCTAGGGAGGCTGTGGAATCCCTGTTAGAGGTTTTTAGAAAACAATTAGACAAACACTTCTTAGGGTTAGTCTGTGTATTTTTAGTCCCACCTCAGCATGACAGGATGGGACTAGATGTCATGTGCTGTCTTTCACTGTAGAAATCAATTATTCTATTATTGTCACACCGTTGCATACTACAGACAAGAAAATACACAGAGAATCCAGGAAGAAAAGTATAGTTTCTTGCAAAGAGCATAAGTGACTGTTGTTTCTAAATACATCATGTAATATGCAATAATATATCAGTAATTAGCTACAAAGTATCTGTCAGACGAGAATCTCCTACAAAAGGCAAGTTAGGAACGATGACTGCTGCCTTTCTACTTTTGCATGAGGCTATGGCTCTCTTTTCAACATATAATTGACTTTGCTCTGTTTTAACTCCAAACACTGATAGCACTGCAAGGACAGGATATAGGATCAGCAGATTCTTCATCCAGTATACATAATACATATATATTAACCATATTTTTGCACTTTGTTATTCAGAAGTAATTATTTTTAGTGTTTTAAAGATAATCAGTTTTCTGAACATTCCATTAATTATTCACCCCTCCCATATCAATTATTGTGTTTTCTACAGGTTACGTGAACCAGAACTGCAAAAATGCACTCTAGTTATTTTGAACAAGTTAGTATACTATCTTACCACTTACCCTGTAATAATTATCTCTGGGTAGCTCTGAGTGATCAAACCCCAGTTGCCTCCACTGATAGGCCATTCCTAGAAGGTTAACAACAACAGATTCAAATAAATGACACTTTGCACTGGCATTATCACATAAGGATATGCACATTATACCATACCTTTTTACTGTAACCTTGCCGTTTCTGTCGAGCTCCAACTGAATAAAGTGCAGGAATGAGGTCCACAGGACAATCAGCAAAATATTCACAACAGGTAACAGGAGACTCATGTATATTCAAAGGATAGGGATTCTCAAATATAGGATACCTTCATTGGAGGAAAGAGAAAAAAGGTTACTTCTATAACTATTGTTCTTTGATATGTGTTGCTCGTGTCCATTCCATGTTAGGTCTGTGTGCTTGTCACATGCACCAGTGCTGGAAGTTCTTCCTTAGTAGTATGCATAGGGGATTGGGTCTGGACCCCTCTAGAGCGGTGAACATATGCCACAGTATCAAGGAGAACTGCTGGCTCCCCCTTCCCTCAGTTCCTCTTGCCAAAATTCTGACAGGGGAAGGAGGACATGCCATGGAATAGACATGAACAACACATCTCGAAGGACAACAGTTACAGAAGGCTAGTAACCATTTTTTCTTCAAGTGCTTGCTCATGTCCATACCACGTTAGGTGATTCCCAACGAGAATCTTCGGAGGCAGGTAGGAATTTATGGACATGTGATTGCAACACAGCTCTGCCAAAACCAGTGTCATATCTAGCCTGCTGGGTGATGGCATCATAGATCATAAAGGTGCAGCTTTACAGATGTCCTGAACTTGCACCAGGAAAGTTGCTGACAGTGTCTTAGCTCTGGTCGAATGGGAAATCAGTGTTGGTGGAGGTACCAACCTATAACAGCTCATAACAGGTATCGATGCAGATGGTGACACAAAATGAAAGCCTTTGAAAAGACACCAGAAGACCTTTCATCCTGTTAGCTATTGCAACGAAGAGATGGGTCAATCTATGGAATGGCTTAGTACGCTCTAAGTAAAAAGCCAAAGCCCACCTGATGACTAGGGTGCGTGGATGCCTCTCCTCGTTGGATGCAAGAGGCTTTGAGCAGAAAACTAAGAGAAAAATGTCCTGATTAATGTGAAAAGGGGACACTGTTTTGGGGGGGGGCATGCTCCAAACTGGGCATGCTCCAAATGCTGGGGCAGCATAAAAGGCAGGAGAGCAACTCAGTCTGGGGTAGCCACCAAAGGAGAAGGATCTCTAGCCAGAGCCCAGATAACGGGGACCAGAGATCCAGGAGACCTCTGAGAGTTACGAGCACCAGCGAAGCCCCAGGGAGAAGCAGCTGCCAGGGAACCAGAACACCCAGGGACCACTTGGGACACTGCCCCACTAGCACTAGTAGGAAGTGGCCTACGGAGGGTGTCGGAGTGGTATCTCCCACCTGGAGGAGCTTGGTATGTTTCAGTCCAAGTCCCCGCTGAGCAAGTGGTAGAATGCTCTGCCACTCACAGGGCCCTGGGTTGGGACCTGGTGGAGTAGGGTGGGCCCGGACCCCCATGGGGGCTGCCAGCCCTACACTGCCCTGAGATAAGGGCTAACATTATTGACTTTAGCCATTAAGCTAAACTAGACCACCTAGACCATGGGTGGCTGTTATTTACAGACTAAAGAAGATTGGAGCCCCTGGAGGGAGCAGAACTGGTGACACTTCCTTTTCTTCCAGATGTCAAACAGGTCCACAATGGGAAACCCCTGTCCTCTAGAAGATCATGTCAACAACCTTCAAGTGGAGTGATGAGAAAAGAAAGACCAGCTGACATGATCAACCAATGTGTTTCAGATGCTAGGAAGATGTAAAGCCTCAATGTGCATGGCATGTCATATACAGAATTCCTACAGTCAAAGGGCTGCTTGACAAAGGGCCAAAGACAGTACTCTTCCTTGCCTCTTGACATAGAACAAAGCCACAAGACAAGCCTCTGCGGAACCAGGTAATCGGGGAAGTGGGGGGGGGGCCCAGTCTGGGAGGCATCTGGGAGTTGGGCCTGGTTGCTGAGTGTGTCGTAGGGTTGCCAGGTATCCAGTATTTTCACCTCCTGACAGGGAAAACCCCCCAGAAAATACCAGACATTTTAGGTGTCCGGTATTTTCTGAATATTTTTGTACTGGACAAGAGGCAAAAATACCAGACTGTCTGGGTCAATACTGTCTGCAAACTTGGCCATGGAATGACAAACATTAATGTCATACCTCTGGAATAATGCCTGATAGTTTGCCGCTCGTAACTGTTTAGCAGAAAAATTGGTCTGCCAGCCTCCAAGTCTAGCCTCTTGTCATCTTTATTTTTTGGGGGGGCAGGGAGGGGGGTTGAGCCAGGTTTTCCCTACCTCTAGAGACCGCTAGAGGTGGGTGGGAATATAGTACTCTAAGCCTTTAGCAGGTTTGTAATATTGCCTCTCTGCACATTTGGAGATTGGTGGGAGAGAAGACAGGGGCTGCCATTAGGCTTTTACCAACTTTCCCACCCCACCAGAAGCGCTACCCTAATTAAGGCCACTGCGGCCAAAATTTCAAAAAACAGTGTTGGGGGTTCCAAGAGCGCCTCTGTTTCCAATCCCAGGTTTCCTGCACCAGCTTCAGCAGCTCCTGATATGCTCTGGCATCATCTTGTGGCACTGCCTGAGATGGTCCTGTAACTGACTTTTTTAAAAACTTGACAGTCTGAGTCAGGTATCTCAGACTGTCTCACTTGCCCTCCACTCTTCACGACCTCATAGGCTTTGCCCAATTTCTCAAATTAAAAACAATGCCCCCAAAAACAATTTCTGTAAATAAAGTGAGAGTTTCACTAAGGCAATCTCAGATACAGTTCCAATAAATATTATTAAAATTGTTTTCATTTGCAAGTGGAGCATTAACAGGTGATATCAAACAGATACACAATAGCCTTAATTACGAAGACACTCCATATTCCCTCCACTACATCTCAGATTCTTACCCATTCTGTGCCAGGTCTATAAGTACTAAATCCTTTTCTAGAAGAACCACGACAGCATAAGGTTCCTGGAAATCTAAAAACAGACAAAAAAAAGGTTATTTAATAGTAATTTTAGTTCTCCTAACATATAGGCTCAGTCATCCACATTACAGGAAACTGTGTACCACACACTTTTCATTAGCCATAAGGAGCAACACCATGAGAGAATGGACAGATATTCACAAATCTGTGTTTTAAATTGAGGATGTAAAGACTTCACCCACCTATCTTCATTTCCTCTCCTCGATTAAATCAACTTCAAAAGACTCAAAAAGGAGGAAGGCAGGCAAATGGTTTTGCAAAAGCAATATATTCAGAGAATTCTAATTACTAACAGTAACCTTATTTCTCCTCACAGAATTGCTTCTGCAGTTCTACACTGTACTATATCGGAAAGCAGTAAGTGACCTAATTTACAAAAGAAACTGAAGGATTGTCCACCTGAAATGAACAGTAGTATGGTACCAAAAGCTGGAGAATTCAGACCAATTCCAGAATTTTAATTTGGAGTAGGTCAGATATCCTGAGCCATGAATGCCTATAAATTATTATTTCTGTGGAGAGCAAATGAACCACAATGTTGGAGACACAAGAAGTGTACAATACAGGTGGTCTCCAATCTCTCTGATTGGTTCCCAGGGAAGTGTCGCTAGTCGGGGGCATTGTAATTCAAACCCTCAATTACAATAGGTGCTGTCATAAATGCGAGGCCGAGGACATAAATCAGGGGTTTTCGGCTCCTTCCACACTTACAAAAAATGATTTTAAGTGCGGGGGGTCATAACTTGGGTGGTCGGAAGTCAGGGTTTCCTGTACTGGTTTAGACAGACCTTGTTCTTCTTGGATGATCAACCTCTATCCTTTCAGCCTTTGGCAAAAAGTTTACAAAAAATGCTGAGTGAGCAAGGGGCAAGTCCCATCAGCAAGACATTGAAAATACTGGTCAGCTACAAATATATAGCTAGTATAACAAGCACTCTCAAATGAACCCTGCTGTGTCTCAGTATCCACCATTGAAATCTCTGAGGTACACCTATACCCAACAATTCATAGTATTCAACATCTGCCTACCCCAAACCCCTAACCCGCTAATAGAAATAGAGGCAATACAGAAGGCAGGGTGGATAAAAATTGATGCAGAACTTGCTTTCATTTACAAATTTGACACCTGTAATCAGTGTTTGAACAAAGACCTGAACTGGATGGGCCACTACATTCCATACCCTAATGACATCAAAAGCTAAGTACCCAGCACTTACAGTTCACTCTGTTAGCTTCATTTAGCATGGACTCTAATTGACAAGATTTTTTTTCTATTTTTTTCCTTCTCTTTGCCTCCCCATCCTTCTCTTTTTCTGATATTTATTTGTACAGTGGGCCCCTTACACCATTCATCTGAAAAAGTTGGTTGTGCTCATGAAATCTCATGATACCATCTACATTTGTTGTTAGTTTCTAAGGTACTGCAGGACCATTCATTGTTTTTTAAGGTTTTATTTTTCAGATTTTTAATTTAAATCTGATTTTTTTATTTAGATTTTTAATTTTTTGAAAACCAATAAAATACTAACTTTCTCATTTAAAAACAACAGTTACAATTATATCTCATCACAAACATGTTATACATATGCCTATGAATTAATAGTTCTAGTCTATTCAGCCTAACACTTGCTTCTTGAAAGTTCTGGGCTTCCAATTTCTATTTTTCAGCAAACTAAAAAGAAATACCTGCAAAGACAGACAAAAGCTGGGTAGGATTACTTTTATTCTGTGTTTATGTGGTGATGGACTTTCATCAAGCATCACAGAGGAATTAGTTATGACATTGGCTTAAAGACAGAGAGACAATATATATAGGAAAGGATGGAGGCAACACAGAAAGGAACAGTGAAGTTGAAAGGAAAAGGGAAGACATTATTCAGAACTCTCACAGCTTCCTATCTTCCCTTACACCTTTGCAACAGAAAAACTGTCATGGCTTCTGAGCATCAGAGAGCCCCTGTCCAAGAATATTTTATAAAAGAAAAATATGTCAAGTGTAAACAGTGGAAGATGATGATGTAGGACCTAGATGCAAGAATGAAACATCATAAGGAAAATTGCTTATTGGGAGAAAATGATGCAGATGGGATGTGGATATGGCTGAGTGGATCAACTGGTTAGTATCTTTAATTGACATTGCAATGTATTGTTCTTCAAGACGCTCTCTATACATTTTAGGGGTGTAATAGTGTATTTGATTAACTGATAAGAAAAAATGTATAGGTTCATGCTATAGACTACATGCATCCTGTCTACCGCCAGTAAATTTTTTAGCGAGCTGGCCAGTAGCCCAGGTCAGACTTGGCTTGTGCTAGATCCAGGACCTACCCCCACTGTGGCTCTGCATTTAAAGTGTATTACGAGCTAGGCGGGCAAGCATCCTGGCTCAGTGCTGGCCTGCGCCAGGTCTAGGAGCTCAGTGCCCTCCCCCGGCACAGGCTGCTGCCACCCTGTGCTGTTGCCTCTGTATCAGAGGCAGCAGTGCAGAGCAACAGCCAGCCAGTCCACGAGGGGAGCTGGTTTTTAAACTGGCTCCCTTCACGGACTAGAACCCACCTGGCACCCTGTGCTACTGCCTCTGATACAGAGGCAGAAGCGCGGAGTGGCAAGGGTTCCTCGGAGTGGGGCTGGAGTGCACTCGCTGCTGTCTCCACCCCTAAGGACTATAGAATAGTTGAGTAACCGGTAAGAATTCATAAGGTTAATTGGCTATCCAATTAACTGATATTTAACATCCCTAATGCCTAGAAAGCTTCAGTAAGAGAAATTTAGAATTGCCAGTTGCCACTGTCATTTTCTTATTTTACATTACATGCTCCTTTCTTCGAAACACTATGGCCACAGACCACAATGGTGATACCGTATGTCTATTCCCTATTTTCCATCGGCATAGTTCAGCTTTCCCAAAGGAACCCCGTTCTGTAACTGTTTTCTCAAAAAACAGAAGTGCTAGTGAGTTCAATGGGGCGTACTCCAAAATTAAGTGCATTATAAGCACAGTCAGTCTTAGCAGTTTTTTGGGGGGGAGGGGGTAACTTGATTTAAATCAATTATTTTTGTTTGGTAATTTAAATCATCTTAATTTACATAAATCCACCCTGAAAGAAGGATATGGGTCTGGGGTCTTTTGTAACCAGGATTCAGAATATTTGGATCTGTGGATGAAGGACACGTACGCTAATGTTTTTATAGCTTGGAATAGCTCTGGGTCTTGAGACATGGCAGGTGACTTCCTACTGTAGCAATTTGCACAAACTTTTCTCCCTTATGAAATTTAATTTCTTTTTCTAATTGTAAGCTTCATAACAGGCACAAAAATAATGAAATGGTTTCATTTAAAACATCGGTTTGAATATATATTTTCTGACGCTTCAAAATGTCTTCATTTCTAATAGATAAGAAGTGTAGTCTACAGCCTGAGTACAGAATATAGTACAAGTAACCAATTTTTTATCTCAGATGAAACAAGGTGCTTTCTCTATGGATTTTGGCAAACTATTTAATCATTGATGGAGGTTTCCTTCCTATAAAACATAGGTAATAATTTACTTACCAACTCAGAGAGATGTTAAAATAAGTATTTACACACTCACTATAGATTGAAAGACCTGGTAAGTGCTAGTCATTATTTATAACAGTCTGTGCACATTATGTGCACATTAATACAGAGGTAGTGTATTTTATAAATGCTTGTATGAATGTGCATTTTAATAAAATGTACTGTTTTTAAAAGAAAAAACACATGTAGTAACTAATTCTTTTCCAGAACATTATAATGATGTTGGTGTTTATTATTAAACATATTTAATCTTTAAAAGAATGATTAAACAAATCTTGACAAACAGCTACAACAGATATTGTTCTGGTCCTGTCCCACACAGAGATATAATAATGAGGCAAAAGCAGTAAGGAATATTCTAGCAAAATAAAGCTAACAAGAGAATGGGTAAAAGTAAAATTTTATAGAACCTACCATTAGGGTATGGAGTTTCACAGAGGGTTAGAAAATCAACAATAGAATAATCCATTTCTAGCACAGCAGTGCTTTTCCCATGCATGACTGTTAAACAGGGTCTTCTTCCTACAGTATCATATGACAAGCCGCCAGACAGAATGATGAAAGGTTCCCTGGAAATAAATAAAAAAAAGGCATTAATGACTATGAAAGGGATACTAAAAAGGAAAGAATCAGCGTTTTCCCACTTCCTCATAATATGAGTTCAAGAGGACACAACTACTGATAGATACATTAGAGTATCTTGACATGTGTCTTACTTCAAAGAGACTTTAACATTAAATTACAGAGGGAGACTTCAGCACTTGTATTTATGCTTAAATTCGACACATTGCAAATGGGCCTTAATAAAGATGTTAATTACCTTACACATTACAAAGACAGCCTCCCCACCTTTTGATATTCGTAGTAACTCTTGATTAGCCACTTATTGACTTACAATAAGCTATTTCCTCCTTCCTTGTCTCTTCCTTGCCCCTCGCCTTCACCTTCTGTTCTAGTAGCTGATGTGTTAGTTTATAATCAGTTTCCTTTCTTCATTGTATTCCTGTTATATATAGTCATGCCAATTCACTTTCCGATTATGATCTGAAAGTGGGTCTGCCCTACAAAAGCTCATCACCTAATAAACTATCTTGTTAGCCTTTAAAGTGCTACATAAAAGAAAAAAAAATATTTCCCTTTCGTTTTAAACAGAACAAGTAATCATCAAGTGATCCATTCCCCCTTCGCCCATTCCCAGCTTCTGGGAAACACTAGGGATACCATTCATGCTCATCCTGGCTAATAGCCACTGATAGGCTATCCTCCACAATAGTATCTTGTTCTTCTTTGAACCTTGTTAAAAACTAAAAATAGAAACAAACACAAACCATTCAACACAGCAAATTTGCCCCCCTTTCCATTTTTTTTAAAGTCACCTTTAGGAAAAGTGTTACAAGGCTGAGGCACTCAAACTTATCCCAATTGTAAGCTTAATTCTGGGAAAGTGAAAAAAATTATAGTATATTCCAATTACGTACAACAATAATTATTGCTAGGAACCAATGGAATACAAAGATTAAAATAATCTAAACAAAAAAATCTACTAATATAATTCAAGGATGGTAAAATAATGTCTGGTAAACAAGTATGGGACCAAAAATCAATTAACTAAAAAAGGAGGTTATTCACATTGCTGTAACTGATGTTCTTCGAGATAAGAATTCCTGGGGGTGCTCCACAGTAGGTGTAGGTACAACCCAGCACCTCAGAGCGGATTTTTGATAGCAGTGCATTGGGAACCGTGCATGTGCGGCACAACGTGCAACACCCCCCCTCCCACCCGGCACCATCACGCATCCATGGCCACCCTCCCTTCAATTCCTTCTCTATCTGGAACCCGGCTTAGGAGAAAAGCATTCACTCCCCCCCAAAGTAGAGGGGAGGAAAGGAAGGTAGTGGAGCTCATCGCGAAGAACATCAGTTACAGCAAGGTGATTTCTTCTTCTTCTACCCCAAGAGAGAAAGAGAGACTTCCCTGGGGGTGCTCCACAATAGATGACTGTAAAGCAATTTGTGTTATGGAGGTAGGGACTTCGGATCAGGCAGGTAAACTGTCTGCAGTACGGCCTTTGCTACTCGTGTAGTGGAGAGGCCCAGAGAAAAGTGCACAGTGCTTAGCAAAGGTATGTTCTGATGCCCATGAAGCAGCAGTGCATATGTCATCAATAGGAACCTTCCTCAGGTAAGTGACTGAGGTGGCAACTGCTCTAGTAGAGCATGCCCGTATCAAAGTAGGTAGCAGTAGATGATTGAGTGGGTAGTACATGGTGATGCAGTCAGAAATCCAATGAGATAATCTTTGGGATGATATGTGGCTTCTCTTGTTGCGTTCTGCCATGGAAACGAAGAGTCATGGAAACAATCTGAAGGATTTTGTTCTGTGGATGTAAAAGAAGACCGCCCTTTGGACATCAGGGGTATGCATCTGTGCCTTGAAAGTGTTTGGTGTGAGGCTTTGGGAAGAATACAGGTAAGTGTATCATTTGGTATAGGTGAAAAAGGAAGCGCACCTTTGGTAAAAACTTCGGGTGCAGCCATAAAGAGACTTTGTCCTTAAAAAAGATGGTGAACAGTGGGTCCGCCATTAGGGCGGTCATCTCGTGGAATGCCTTTTTTAGAGATAGGTGGAGGAGGAAGCATGTGGCCATGGGTTCAAATGGAGATTTTGTGAGCATCATCAGTACCCGGTGTAGATCCCATGGTTCTCGAGGAGCATTAATGTTAGGATATAGGGCCTATAGGCCTGTTAGGAAGTACTTAGTTATAGGATGTGCAAACACCGTGGTATTATCAACTGGCACGTGGAAGGTTGTTATTGCTGCAAGATGGACTCTGATTGAGCTCAGGGAAAGTTGTGATTGCTTGATGTGTAGTAGGTAATTGAGGAGTGTAGGAAGAGGGGTATCCTATGGTGATAGAATCATAGAATACTAGAACTGGAAGGGACCTCGAGAGATCGAGTCCAGTCCCCTGCCCTCATGGCAGGGCCAAATACTGTCTAGACCATCCCTGGTTATCTAACCTACTCTTAAAATATCTCTAGACATGGAGAATCCACAACATCCCTGGGCAATTTATTCCAGTGTTTGACTACCTGACAGTTAGGAACTTTTTCCTAATGTTTAACCTAAACCTCCCTTGCTGCAGTTTAAGCCCATTCTTCTATACTCAGAGGTCAAGATGAACAAGTTTTCTCCCTCCTCCTTATGATACCCTTTTAGATACCTGAAAACTGCTATCATGTCCCCCCTCAGTCTTCTCTTCCCTAAACTAAACAAACCCAATTCTTTCACCCTTCATTCATAGGTCATGTTCTCTAGACCTTTAATTATTCTTGTTGATATATTGCAGTAGGCCGCCCAATGTGCAAACCAAGACCACTTGTTAATATATGTCTCTCTTGTTGTAGGGGCCCTGCTGCGTAAGTTGGAGTCTATAGGCCATAGGTTGTAAGTGCTCTCATGTGCACTCCCCAACCAATGAAAGAGGTGCCTGTGGTGATAACCACTGTGGGTTCTGGGTCTTGAAAGGGTATGCCCCTGCATAGGCTGTATGGTTTTGTCCACCACAGTAGTGATCTCTTTACTATGTCCGGGACTGAAAGCGTTTTGGTCTTCGGGTGCAAGTTGGGTTTGTAGGCGAATCTGAGCCATTCCTAAATACACCTCCTGAATAGGTGGGTGTTGGGGACAACAGGGTTGCAAGACGCCATATGACCCAAGAGTGACAGACAGTCGTGGGCTGTTACAAGTGGTATTACATGGTGCAAATGAATTAACTGGCTGATCCCGAGGAACCTGTCGGGAGGTAAGGAAGCCATGGTTGCAGTGGAGTTGAAATGGGCCCCGATGAATTGTATGGACTGAGTGGGTATGCGCACTTATTTGCTCTTGTTTATCAGAAGTCCTAGTGATTGGAAACACAGTTATACCAGATTGGGTACAGCCTGTAAGAATTGGGCAGCAGCTGCCAGTTTTTTTCCTGGGTAAGGAAGTAATGGGAGTAAACGCCCATCCTCTGGAACTCTGGTGGAACTAATTGCAGTAGGTGATCTATCTCTTGTTGCAGTATGATTTTGTGAGAGGGGACCCTAAAGAGGACAGGGTGGACGGGTGAGGTGGGTGAAGGAAGTTGTATCACCCACTTGTCGGATGTGATGGTGTGCCATTTGTCAAGAAATGGGAGCAGGTGGAAAATGAAACATTTGCTAGTATTTGAGAGCTCTGGAGGAGGTAGGATGGTTTTCAGTCTCTCGAAGGATGGCTCAAATTTGCTTATCTGGTTGGGGTGGGTTGTTGGAGGTATAGGGGCCATTGACGCTATTGTCTGGTATGGCGATGTTGCTGGTATGGTGGGCGATCTTACCTTTGATAGTGATATGTGGGTATCTTGGCCTTTGATATGGTTGATATCTGTACTGCCTTCTTATTACAGTTGTCTGAATGCCAAGAGAGCATAAGGTTGCCCTGGAGTCTTTCACTGAGTGGAGGACCTCACTGGTTTTCAATGAGAATAGCTTTGCTCCTTCAAACAGCAGGTCTTCCACTGACCGTTGGATTTCTTGAGGGAAGGCAGATGAATTAAACCATGATGCCCGTCTCATGACAACTGCAATGGCTGTTGTTCTCGTAGCCATGTCAGCTGTGTCTAAGGAAGCCTGAAGAGCTGTGCATGATATTGCCTGACCCTCTGTGACAATTGCTCTGAATTGCCTTTTTATTGTCTGGTATATCATCAATAAAGGCATTAAGCTTGGCATAATTATAGAAATCGTATTTATGGAGAAGTGTGGTGTAGATGGCTACTCATTTGTAGCGTGGCTGATGCGTACGCTTTCTTACCAATTGTATCAAGTCTCTTATTGTCCTTGTCGGATGGTGTGGAGTGGTTTTGTTGCTTATTTCTCTGTTGAGCCACATCCACTACTAGTGAGTTTTGTGGTGGATGAGTGAACAAAAATTGAGGCCCTCAGGTAGGATATAATACTTGTGGTCTGGTGTGGGTTTTTTTTTTTTAAACACAGGTGGGCAGGATTGAGGCAGGGGTTTGCCACAGAGTTTTGGCAGGTTCTAGTACGGCCGAGTTAACTAGCAAGCTATTTTTTGAAGAAGGTGTCACCCGAAGGATATTTGTGAGGTCATGTTACATGTCCTGCACTTCCTCCATGAGAATGTTCAAACTGGTTGCAACTACAATAATTCCTCATTTAACGCTATAGATATGTTTCAGAAAATGATTGTGTTGAATGAAAACGTGTTATGTGGGGTCAATTTTCCCATTGAAAATAATGGAAAAGGTGGGGGTTGCGTTTCAAGTGGTGTTGTCTGTTGGGACCAGCACATAAGGTTGGGGGAGAAAGGGGACTGGGTTACAGCAGGGAGGGAGAGGGGGTCACAGGGGAATGGGTTAACAGCAGTGAGAAAGGGGACTGGGTTACTGTGTACAGAGAGAGGGGGTCACCAGGGAACAGTGTGGTGAGCAGTGAATCCTCCGCCGCTTTGCGGGGAGGTGGGAGAAGCCCCGCACAGCTGCTGGCGACGGGTCAGCTGGGGAAACCCAGCCTGTAAGC